TGATTTATTGTAGAGATGAGGTCTCGCTGCCCAGATGGGTCTCGAACCCGCGGCCTCAAGGCAATCCACTCACCTCAGCCTCCCAAAGGCGCGGGATTACAGGCTGAGCCACCGAGCCGGGCTGAGACAGACTTTTTGAGGGAAACAAATGTACAAAACTACCTACCATTTTGAAAGAAGACTACTAAATACAAATAGAAGTTTTTCTGTTCCACTAATTCCAGTAGATTTTCTTTCTCAACCCCCTTTTGGTATGTCCTTGAGAAACCCTCCATTTTAGTATACCTAAAATTTTCTGTTTTTCTTGCCCTTTGAGTATATGTATATGAGTTATATGCAAAGATGTCTTTTCTTTTGCTAGAAGAGAATATTATTTTGGGGGATGGAGGCTTTTACTTTCCTTTCACAGTGGCACTACTCATGAGCCAAACTGTACCATTTTGTGCAGTTTCGATTCTATGCTTCATTTCATTGATTACCCCCAAACTACACCCTAAAAGTTTATGTATAAAAACTATGTTGTAGTCATTGGGAAGTCACATATCCAGTTGAGATAATGACTGCCATTCAAATAGGGAATTTTTTAGGATGTCTCTCTTAAAAGGATGTTATTGTGAAATAGATTACCTGTGATTCAATGATGAAATGATAGACATGTCTTCCTCTCTGTCCTTGGAAGTTGTTAAGCCTTCCCAGTAAGAATGTCTGAAAGGAAGACAGTTCATTAGTGTTTGCTCTCAAAGGTGCATTTTATTTGGAGAAGAAAAATGGGATAACCAGATGGATTATTCAAAATATCTAAACTTTACAGGGAATTTACCATAATTGAGTATTTCAATGGCATGTTATTAGAAGGGCTTGGTTAAACACACAGACTCAGAGAAGCAAAGGGGTTGTTTCTGAGTGTGCTAGTGTGAGATACATTTAATTATTCATTTATTTCCAGCACTATTTGGATTATTACTTTCTCTGTGTATATATAATTAGGCATCTTTCTCTGTTATACTTCTAAATCTTGTACTGCCCTCACAGCTGACTAAATAATAAAGTGGCTCAGTCACCTATCTTTTCTTTCAGTTTCTCTTTCCATCATTAGGGTTATTGATTGCCTGTTTACTTCCTGGCTAATTCTAGGTGTTATTGAGAACCTACCAATTTGCTCTCCTATGTAGTATAGTTAATAATGTTTTGGGTGGTATATTTTTAGTTTGGTCAAAAATAATAAAAATACAGTGGCTAATATTTATTAAATACTTATTATGTGCTAGATGCTTTTACATACTTTAGTTCTAACAGTAACTCGGTCAGGGCAAGTGGTAATATTTCAGTTTTACAAATGAGAAAACTGTAAATTAGAGGTTAAATAGTTTGTCCCAAAGTAACACAGTTAGTGTGAATGACAGAGTTAATATTTAAACTCAGGACTTTCTTACTTTAATATCAAGGGTCTTTATGATCTCTATACATTACTTCCTGGTTTTGCTCTGGACCTCACAACTCTGCTTGTTTGTTTATCCATATCCCTTCCACTGGAATGACATCTCCTTAGCAATTCCAGGCTCTACTAGTAGGAAATGTACCTATCATTAAAGCCCCAGACAAAATGCCAACTTTTCCTGAAGTTTTCCATATATCCCTGTGTGGAAGTAAACTCTGCTTTCTTTGAACTCCCACAATACTTTTGTACCTTCGTACATTTATTTTGCGTTGAATTATAATTATCCCTTTACGTGTCTTAATTTACCACCTAGAGACTCTTTGATTTCCTGTAGCCTAACGTTGAAGGTACTCAGTATTTGTTGTCTTGATATTACAGGCAAAACCCATCAAAAGAGAAGTAAACACTATTGATGCATTTTTTAAAATTTGAAAGAACATGGCAATGTGGTAATGATTAGTATATTTATGATGATTTTTGCTTCCTGTTGTTTGGAAATCTTGTTAAATGTTGTTGGTGGTATAACTAAATGTCACATGCATTTCCTGGCTTGGTGAAAAGATACATAATCTTAGCTATCATTTTTTAAAAAAGATAAATAATAATGAGACACATCTGTTTGACAAAGCTAAGAAGAACCTGCTGTTTTAATTTTGATCACAGCAGTGGGTCAGATTATGTTCTTTTAGAGCTAACTTTGATAATAGGCTCAAAATAATATTGGAATTCAACAATTGATTATTGATATATATATTATCTCTTACATTTATGGATATTGGTATAGAATAAGTTTATGTTAAACAGTCTACTTGTCTCTGAATATAATGTTTCTATTTATGACTTACTGTACTATTTAATATATGCATTGTCTTTTTATTTTTGTTTTACTTGCTTTTAGTTTTCTTCTCAGAGAAAGCTAATTAAACCAGAATTTGTTCATTGGGGTTGTAGGGAATCTCATTATTAATTACCCATTCAAATTCAAACTATATTTTTTTCTAAATCTCTTTAAATATGCTCTTTCCCTCTTCTAACTTACTTACTTTAACATTTCATTCACACAAAAAAGAACTTAATCAAAACTTTTTCTTTTTTTAGGGCTCAAACCGTGATTTTTTTTTGAGTTGGAGTCCCACTCTGTCACCCAGACTAGAGTGCAGTGGCCGCTCCTGGCCACCGCAGCCTTGACCTGCTGGGCTCCGGCGATCCTTCCTCCTCAGCCTTCTGAGTAGCCAGAATCACAGGCGCGCGCTACCACACCCGGCTAATTTTTTGATTTATTGTAGAGATGAGGTCTCGCCTGCCCAGGCGGGTCTCGAACCCGCGGGCTCAGACAATCCACTCACCTCAGCCTCCCAAAGGCGCGGGATTACAGGCTGAGCCACCGAGCCCGGCTAAACTGTGATTTTTAAAAAATTTGTTTTCCTCTTTTAATTTTTATTTAAAATTGTGGGGTACAGTTCAGGACTAGGTATACAAATGTTCACCATGCAGGTACCCTTATTGATGAGATGTGCTCCTAATCAAAACTTTTAATGAATACTTATTTGGTGATAGGGGTTTTGTTATAATTTACTTATTGAGTTTTGAATTCTGAGTCTGTTAACCTAGAAGTTCTAACTGTGTTTTTATACTGTCTTCCATCTTAATTGTACATATACTTGCTGTTAATTTGGCTGAACTCTTGAAACATCCTAAGACTTTTTAACCTCCTTTGAGGGAGAAATCCTTTTGTAAAGATAATCTCTTTAAAATGAATATCAACCTTTCTCACCCCATATCACTTGGACTTTATGAAACTGCTGGTAAAGCAAAAGGTGGGCAGAAGACAGTAACTCAAACAAGTCTTTTGGCTCTTGAACTAAGACAGTTGGCTAAATTTACACAAATTATGAGACTGCCTAGAATACTCTTATTGTTAAGGTTTGAGAATCTGATTGTTAAATATCTATTGAATAATACAGCAAATTAAAACAATCAGTATGAAGGCATTTGACATCAACCAGAATATAGAAAATGCTTAAAGTTTTAGTTCTAGTGACAAAAACTTAAGTTCTCCATTATAAAATAACTATTATCGTTAATGCTAAATTATCGCAAAAGTAATACGTTAATTCCAGGGAACTAGTATAGCATAATTCACAGAGTAGCTAACTTCATAATATAGAGTTTATTATATTTTACTGTTGTGTGTAAATGTGTTAGTCCTTATAACAATCCTATAGCGAAGTACTGTTATCTTTCCTATTTCATAGATGAGGAAACTGAGCAAAGATAAATGAAGGGACTTTACCAAGAATGTACAGTATTTGAACCCAGGCAGTCTGGCCTTAGAGTCTGTGCCCTTTATTCAGTACTGCTTTTTACTGGGTAGTTAAGATTTTGGGATTATAACAGACCTGGATTCAAATCATGGCTACTACTGATAATCTTGGGATGGGAGTATGTTTCTTGACCTCCCTGAGCTTCAGGTTCTTGTTTATAAACCAAGGGTTGTTTTAGGGATAAAATGAGAAAATATGTGTTAACTTCTTAGCTCACTGTTTAGCAGATACTATGTTTGTTCAGTAGATGGTAAGTGTCATTATAACAAATACTGAGAGGCAAAATGAAAATGTCACCAAAAGAAAACATCCTTTGCTAACTTTGAGTTATCCAATATTATAAAACATGTTTCTTGATTTTATTAGTAAATCTTTTAAAATTTATATTACTGTATTTTTCTTCCTTCTATAACTTTTTCTTATATATGTTTCACAAAATAAGGCAGGGAGGCATGGATTTTCTTGTATCACTTAGCAGCAAGGCATGTCTGTTTTGGCCTCTATGCTAGCCAAAACTTTTTTTTCTATGTTCAGGAATGGGTAGGTGGAAATAGAGGAGGACCTGTATGTATACACATATTTTTTTCTTTTTAAACAGAAATGGGATTATGTTTAACCTTTTTTTTGTTTGTTTCAGAGTCTCACTCTGTCACCCAGGCTGGAGTGCAGTGCCCACGGTTCACTGCAGTCTCGACTTTCTGGGCTCAGGCAATCTTTCCACTTCAGCCTTCCAAGTAGCTGGGATTACAGGCACGCAGCACTACACCTGGCTAATTTATTTTTACTTTTTGTAGAGACAGCGTCTTGCTATGTTGCCCAGGCTGGTCTCAAACTTTTGACCTCAAGTGATCCTTCTGCCTTGGTCTCTCAAAGTGCTTGGGATTACAGGCTTGAGCCACTTTGCCTCACTAAAATTTCTGATATAATGTCTACAGATCAACAAAATATACAGTGTGTTAGAAGTAGACCAGAGAACATGCACTAGTATTAATTTTATTAAAATAACAATGAAACTCCAGTTTCAGAATATTTAGAGTTGCTAACTGAAAACACTGTTTCTTAAAGAACAATCCTAATGAATGTAGACTGTTTCCTCTTGAATGAGCTTGTAGAAGTCTGACCATATATTACATTGTTAAATAAATTCACTGGTGTGATATAGCAGTAACTGAACCAGTCCCCTTTTCTATAGCTTCAGCAACAAACCATGGCTAATGATGTTTTTTTTTTTCTTTTAGATCTACACACAATGAGCTGGAAAAGAATCGGTAAGTCAGTGATGAGATGCAGCTTTCACTTATGTTTAAAAAGCAGACTCACCATATATTGTAATAATGCATATGTAGTTTTAATTTTACTTTTCAAATATATGGCCCGATATATATTTTTTTTCTGATATATATTTATTTTCTTTAAAAAGTGACGTGACTAGTAAGCCTGTACTTACTAAACTGGAAGAAGTAACTATATTTTTAAAGCTTATTTGAATTTTGAGTTTATGGTATAGCCTTCTTTATTTCTGTCTCTGAAAATAGGTTAATTATGATAGGCTCATGGTTTAAATATGGTCTTGCTAAATGATAGAGTTTCTGGAGAGTAAGTAATAAACAAGACAGATTGGAGGGCATTGCCTTTTTTCTTTTTAATTTATTCATTCATTAATTCATTTATTCATGCCTTCAACATATATTTATCAAGCATGAACTATATGTTTGTGCCAGGCAGGCAGAATGTTTTACGTAGAAAATTCAGGAATATGTAAGATGGTTTCTTTCCTTAAGGAACTCAGCTTTGTGGGAGAGGAGAGTAATTAAAGTACTGTATAATGTGCCAAGTATGGTAATGGAGTAGCAGAGATTACTAGAAGGTTACCTGATCTCCCTTGAAGGGAGGCTCACAAGGTACTGTAGGGAATGGTGAGTGAGCACCGTATACTGAGGAAACTGCAAGAGGTCAGTATGAGTATAAAATCTTGTAGCATGAAGTAAGCCATGCATGGTGTTGAAGAGTCTCATCAACTGTGCTGAAGAGTTTGGATTTTTTCTGAGACCCGTAGGGATCAGAGGAATGATTTTAAGATAGATTGTCATATGACAATCCTTTGTGTTTTGGAAAGCTTTGTATTTTGGAAAGATCACTTTGGCTACAGTGTGAAGAATTGATTGGTTGGGAGAAGGGATATCAGTGGCATGCATGCTCTTTTAGAGGTGATTACAGTAATCTAGGTAAGAGATGATGATAGCCATCGAGACAGAAGTAGACAAAATAGAGTATGGCTGGGCACGGTAGCTCATGCCTGTAATCACAGCACTTTGGGAGGTGGAGGCAAGAGGAATGTCTGAACCCATGGGTTCGAGACCAGCCTGGGCAACTTGGCAAGACCTCGTCTCTACAATAAATCAAAAAATTAGTTGGGCATGGTGGTGCATGCCTGTAGTTCCAGCTACTTGGAAGGCTGAGGCAGGAGGATCGCCTGAACCCAGCAGGTTGAGGCTGCAGTAACCATAAGCATGCCACCGTACTCCAGCCTGGACAACAGAGTGAGACTGACTTAAAAAAAAAAAAAAAGCCAGGCACAGTGGCTTACATCTATAACTCTAGCACCTTGGGAGACTGAGGTGAGAGGATTGCCTGAGCCCACGGGTTCAAGACCATCCTGGGCAACTTGGCGAGACCTCATCTCTACAATAAATCAAGAAAAATGAGCCACACATGGTGTCGCATGCCTGTAGTTCCAGCTACTTGGAAGGCTGAGGTGCAAGGATCGCCTGAGCCCAGTAGGTTGAGGTTGCAGTGACCGTGAGCATGCCACTGCACTCCAGCTTGGGTGACAGTGTGAGACTCCGACTCAAAAAAACATAAAAGTATGGAGTAGAATCAATAGAAATTGATGATTAGTTGGCTATGGATAGTTATATCTTAGATGGTATTACCACTTACTGAGAAAAGGAATATAGGAAGAGGACAAGTTTGGGAGAGAACATGAGAATTGTAGAAATAAAATATTCTCTTTTTGGTAGAGCAATTCGATTAGTAACCAACAAACTGGCAGTGTCTGCATCTGCCATTTTTGACAAACAAGCTCTCATGACCTTCAACTTTTTGTCATTCCTCTTTTTTTAAATAGTTTGACTAACCTAACTACTTTCTTAAGGATGAGTTTAAATGTCAAATCCTCTTGAAAAGGCTTAGTATAGTCTTTTAGGTAAACTTAGTAGCTTTTACCACTTTGCACAGTGCTCTGTTCATACCTCCTATTACAAGACTCGTTAGCATTGTAATTATTTGTTTATATGTCTTTTTCTGCCAAATGACTACCACTGCCCCAAAGACAGAAATACTATTTTGTTCAGTGTTGTGTCCTCACTGCCTAGAATTTGATGCATACACTGGAGATGATGGCTTTAATATTGAGTGAAGGGTGAAACTAGAACTCAAAATTGAGTGACTTAGTGAAAGACATGTTGCTAGTAAGTGGCAAAGCTGTTCATCAGGGTATCTTTCATTTTAAATAATCTCCTTTCTACCTTATGTATCAACGATCTGGATGGATTGAAGGAATTATCTAGCTAGTTTAAACATAGCCAAAAAGAAAAAAAAGGAACAAAAAATAACAGCTCTTAGGATACTAAAATTAAACCTTACATTAGAATTTACTCTAAATTATGGCATGTAGTGTATTTTGGGTCACATAGCTTACTGGTAAATATGTAACTTTTATAACTGTTTCACCCATCTGAATATGGTCTTTGGGACACCCCCTTTGGAAACCTGGCAAAAAACCTTTAAGACTTGAGTAGAGACCCTTTTTAGTAACCATTTAGAATAGAGCTTCTAAAATTTTTGATTAAATTTTGTGTAATAATTCTGCATGTCTGGCCGGTTGCAGTGGCTCACGTCTGTAATTCCAGCAATTTGGGAGGCAGAGGCAAGAGGATTGCATGAGTGCAGGGGTTTGAGACTAGCCTGGGCAACTTGGTGAGACCTTGTCTCTACAATAAATTAAAAAATTAATTGGGCATAGTGGTGCGCACCTGTAGTCTCAGCTATATGGCAGGTTGAAGTCGAGGCTGCAGTAGCCATGAGCATGTGACTGTACTCCAGCCTGAGTGACAGAGTGAGATCACTCTGACTTAAAAAAAAATTTTTTTTTGCGTATTTTTCTGACTTAATGATAACTTGAAAAAATCCTCACAGAAGATGATATGTGTATCACCCACAGTATTACTTTGATTTGCCCTGTAAGTTGTTTAATTTAGTATTCAAATGTGGCACAATTGTAACACATATAGTTTTTATGACCTAGACAGTATGCAATCTCCAGTAAAGGTCTTTTGTTCCTATTTGAAATACTTAGGTCTAAGACTTTCTGACTGATTTCCTACCATGCTACTCTACTGCATTTAAGGAAGGGATGATTCTCTTATCCTCTTCTGATAGCCCACGTAGGACTAATAGACATTCTTCATTTCTCAAGTTGTTTCTTTTCCTCTCTTTACTACTTTTTTCCCTCCCTCTCTTCCCTGAGGCTTCATTGAAAGGTGATATAGAATTAACTTTTCCAGCCGGGCTCGGTGGCTCAGCCTGTAATCCCGCGCCTTTGGGAGGCTGAGGTGAGTGGATTGCCTGAGCCCGCGGGTTCGAGACCCGCCTGGGCAGCGAGACCTCATCTCTACAATAAATCAAAAAATCAGCTGGGCGTGGTAGCGCATGCCTATAATTCCAGCTACTTGGAAGGCTGAGGCGGAAGGATCGCTGGAGCCCAGCAGGCGAGGTTGTGGTGGCCGGGAGCGGCCACTGCACTCCAGTCTGGGCGACAGAGTGAGACTCCAACTCAAAAAAAAAAAAAAGAATTAGCTTTTCCAAGGCATATTTTTAAGATATATTTTTATCAGTATAACTAAAACTCCAGTTTTAGTAGTATGTGTCAGAGGGTCAGTACTAGAGGAAAAATCAAATGTAATAATCTTAACTCCACTTCTGAAAAGTGACCAGCTGTGATTTGGCAAAAATCAAAAATATTGATAGACACAGGAAAATTTAAAGGTGGGAAGGTGTTTTAGTCAAATAGCAAGAAGGTGGCACAAGAATATTTTAAAAATTTAAGCCTATATCTTTGTCATATTTTTTAGGCCTTCATCCAGTTCCATTTAATAGTTCTTTTCAACAAGCCATCATATCTTCTATTATAAGACTGACTAGGTGGCATTGTAATTTTATTTGATGTGCTAAAGAAAAAAAGTTAACCTGACTTTGACATCCTTTAAAATAGAATTTTGGCTTTACCTTTCATCTGTTTTTAAATGTGACTTATGTGAAGAAAGTAACTCATTATCAAAAGGGTAATTTAATTTTGTCTTCATTTTGGAAAAAAAAAAACACTTCTGAAGTCATCTATAGTCTTTAAATTTTGCTACTTTATATATAACATATTCATGCCAGAAATTGCTTTTTTCCTCTTTTAGCTTGGTTCTGAAATCTTGCATAAACAGGTCTTCTGAGTTAGTATTTTTTTTCCTGGGGTAAATGCAGTGAGAATTAGAGTGGGTAATTTTAAATTGTTAGTGAATGGCAGAGTAATTCCAGATGGCTATCTTAAACAAAGCCCTAAGATTGTTGAAGTTCTGGGGTCTGGCCTTGAGGAGATAATAGCCACCAAATGTTGAGGCTCATTTTCCCAGATCTCAGAGGGAGGCCTAATGGTGGAGATTTGGAGTTTGGCAGGCCCAGAGTAGTTTACTTTGTCCCACAATTGCCCCTGGATGCCTATAACCCATTAGGGAGCTTTAGGTAGTTTCAGGATTGATAGAGATTTAGATTCTTTCTTTGATAGATCTTGGGGGCTGATTTCTGCCTAAAACCTTGTTGGTTATACTGAGCCTGGTCTAGGTGGTTCAGAGCACTTGTTACCTGTGTACTAACCCTGTCCCCCTAGGCCCGCAACAGGTCATAACAGGCCCAGGAGGTGGAGGGAAAGCAGACTACCTTTAGATGTTCTGCATTCCTCAGGAGCCTATGTGAATCATCTCATGGGAAACTTAATGAGTCTTTGAGATTGAAAATTAAGAATTTACTTTGCTTATTGGTGTATCTTATGAGATGGGTCCTTTGCCAGAAAAGAAACAATTCAGTACAGATTTTTGATCGCCTCATTGCTTTTTCATTTTCTTAATTCAAATTACTGATGATGTTTTCAAAAGAATCAACAACTTTAACAGGACTTTAATGGTCAAAAACCTTAGTGCTGACTGTAGGAAAGGCCATTCAA